TATATGAAATTGTGTATTCCACAAATATTGCACTCCATATTTCACTAAACGTTGGAGCTATCTTTCATGTATCATAATTCAGAAAGTCAATATTTTTTTTAAAAAAAATATCGTATCTATAGATAAAAGATGGGGAAAACGGTGTATGTTTGGTTGTCTGTTTATCTGTCAGTGTGTCTGCTATGGATTAAATATTGTCACTCTGTTGAAATTCATTTCTTTTTGATGAATTTCTTCAAACTTCACTCGTTCTTGATAACTGACAGTATATTGTAATACAGTTGGAAAAAAAAATTATCCGTCCAAAATAAATTATTTCAATAACACTTAAATCTGCGCCCACAAAATGTGACTAAAAATTACATTTGACACTAAGAAGAAAAGTATTTAGCAAATTTTTGAGATTCGAAGCAATCCGTCAATTAGTTACCCAATCGATGGTCTTCGATATTAGTATAATGCTTGGCCACTGTTTTTGTAATTAATTTAGTTATCCATTTTTTAAAGACACATAGAACAATAAAGCTAAAAGTTTTTCCGAGTAGCAAACAGTATCGTGCCAATTGATTGTATCGAACTATTGGCCATTTTTGGTATTTAAAAAGAAAATTCAATGATATCAAGTAATATGGAAGTTATATTTTCGGTTATCGCCCTTGAAATGTTTTCGAATAAGACGGTAGTATATTAGAACCATTCATTCTAGCCTAATTGCGTAATTACAAAATTTTGAAAATACGGTGTAAGATAATATTTGGCATTATTAGTTAATTACTTAATTTAAAAAACAAAAATCAATTAAACAACAAGTTGTCCGACCTGATGGTGACGATGTAACAGATGTAACATCAACATCTACTAAATGAACCTCTACTAGACGGTTTACCTTCCATCATATCACACGATCCTGACAACGTCTATGTTAGACCCTTGTCAGACATATGCTGGGCCCGTTAGAGACATGCGGGACATACCTACTGGACACATGTTGCAATAATTCCTAGCCCTCCAATGTATACATTTTAAAGTCCCTGCATAATTAGGTATGGTTATACTGTATATATGCCGTATACCATATCATAGCTAGTGCTATATTTTATTATGTATCATTTTTACTTTCTCGTATATACGAAGTATAGAGAAAGTCTTGTAATCGTGCAAAAAAAAAATCGAGATTTTTTCAAATCTCGACGTTTTGCATCTCAATGATACGGACAAACATAATTTTGCAATCTTGTCCGTATGTCTGAGTGTCTGTGTGTGTGTGTGTGTGTCCGTTACAGCTAGGTTGATGAAATTTCAAATATAAGTATTTTATCAAAATCGTAGATCCGTATCAATTTTTGAGCGATTTCCGATAACCGGAAGTGGTACTTTTTCTACTTTGAATTTTTCAAAAGCCTATAACTTGAGTACTATTTCAGATAGATAAATGCAATTTAATATGTAAGTAAAAGATCTAATTCTCTACCTTTTGTCAAATTTTGAGTAATTTCCGTTGAACGGAAGTACTAATTTACGCTATTTCCGATTTCTCAAAAAACGCATGTAAATGTATAAAGTACTAATAATATTGCGCACTATTATGCACATCTTTATATAGCGTTCACTTGGTGTGCATTTCTTTTTTCTACGAGATTATATTCTATTTTTAAAACTGTAAGTATTTAAAATGGATTAAAAATCATGTCTAGAAGTCTATATCCCGAGTTGCCATCCCCTGTAGTGTTATATTATAATATTCGAGAAAGTTTAGGGGAGATCACTCCCGGTTTATTATTTATTGCAAATATGGTTACATTGTATTATATGACCATTTACATGTATAAAATATAGTTACATTGTCTAATATGGACATTTACATTTAAAATATCTCACTCTTTTATTTTATAATTAAAATCATAGTTTACCTTCAGATCAGACTGACCAACTCTTGGTCAGCTGACCATCCCACGTGACAGGTCAGTTCGTTGTATTGTCATTATATTGTTTCTGCTTGATCAATGAGAGTTTACTAAAGTTTAATGTATGAAAGTTAAACATTATTCACAGATGAGAACTATAAACCAGTCCATCATTGAATGTAAGGATTGGATCCTTATTTATTAAAAACTATATACATTCAAGTCACAGTTTTTTTAATTGTATAACCTAATAGGTTTTTATATACAATTTTGCTTTCTTGCTTAATTTTTTAATATTTTCTAAAACGTATTAATTATACATATGTATTGTATTAGCAATATACCTATTTCTAAAGAATATGTATTTAAAGTTTTTATAATATACGAGCCAACCCGCGGCATATCATACGCCGCTATTTAGTTGTTTTTTTTTTCTACTTTTCAGTAATTCAGAATTTGTGAATTCGACAGTACCAATGCTGCCACTGAAAATATGTGCTTTAAAACACTAACCCCCCCCCCCCCTCCCGTGAAAGCAGCCTCCTCTTAGTTACCTCCTCTAATTTTAAAATCGTTTCAAACTAAATTATCTTCCCCTAATAGCCGTCACCAAACCCGGCTCTATGATTGTAAAATGTAAACATTTAGAGTGAACTACAACTCACCAGGCCATGTAGGGGTGGTGGTGGGGGGTGGGGGGTAGCGATAGAGAGGAAGAGAGGGGACTGCAAAGGCGCGCTTGCAGCTTGTTTTCTAACGGCTCCCAGAAGAGAATTATATATATAGATAGCTCTATTAGTTTGATCGATTGGTCTCACTTTACCTTTTCAATGTAATAAGAAATGGCTATAGTAATATGTATTTTAAGTTTTAAAAAAAGACATTTAGTTCTAGACAGTATCTAAACTGTTTGAGAACTTTCATCAATACAGTATAAAACGTTTATTTTCCAGATAAAACAGTTTGTGATATGTATAATGTTAAAAGTTTTAATTTTTTGTTTGTTTTTGTTTTACTGTGAAACACACTACCACGCTAAAGAAGGAGTTTGTCGTATTCGTGCACATGTCTTACGACACAACGAACACGGGATTCGATCAAGTCCATTGAGACGAAAATTAGCTCAGGTTAAGCTGCCATCTTTTTTTTTTTTTGCTGAACTGAAAAAGGGAACAATGATCACGACAGAAGTAAATTAAGAGACGATTAAACCAAAGTTGTTGTAGTAAAGTCTATAGTTATACATCAAACGTCACATATTTACAGTATCTGTGATTGCTATAACGCCAGTGATATATTTATACATAGCCGTATTGGCTATACCTCTCTCAAACTATAAATAACCATAACATAATCGTATTGTTAACTTTAACATTATAAGTTTATACAGACACATTTAAATATTAAAACACTTTTTATCAAAATAATAAAATAATAATTATAGGCTAACTATGTTTCGTATTTCAGCAATTGACTTTATAATTAGATTAGTAGGTCAAGACCAGATGGTAATGTGATGTAACATGATCTGTGACACTATCAGATGTTGAATTAACACAAAACAAATTAACAGCAAGTTGACAGACCTGATGGTGATGATGTAACTAATGTGATGATTCCACATGATGTTTGGCTATCATTTAAATGTAAAAATTCCACATACACCATCAACGGATACTACGTCAAATATAAGTTCTGCTTTTAAAGTACGTTTAAGTTTTGTTGCAAGAAAACATAATGACATCATTTGATAACGGGAACGGCAATACATTTAACCGAATGTTTTGCTGGTCTTTAAAATATATAAAGCAACATCACCGTTTTTAACAATTTAACAATTTTTTTTTCTAATTGAAACGTATACAACTAAAATAGAATGTAGGTTTAAACAAAATAATCAACAAGATTGTTTTTCTCGATAGTCTGTATTTTGTTAGTAAATAAAGTGCGATCATTTAAAAAAAAAGTTCTCTATGGGTGTCAATGTTCGATTGCCTCTCTTTTATTCTTTATATTTAAAAAATGGGAAACAATGTGTGATCTACTTCTATATGTACATCGTATACAACGCACATAGTAATTTTCAGCTTGAAATAAAAAGCTACATATATAACAAAACCAGATGACAACCCAAGTGTGTCAGCTATTCTAAAATTACAATTTAACGTACGATCACTGTTACCGTTTCTTCGTGAACTTATGATTTCTATTTTTTTTTATTTTTAGCCTGAACAAAGTCGACCATAGATTGTTGTCCCAACTACCTTGACAAAACCTTTAGTTTATTAGTATTTTTTTTTTAAATAACTATTGAATAGTGTCGTCAAAAGTACCATAGCAGTTATCCTTTATCAACACTAGCATCATCTGAGCTGAGGTTGTAGTATATAAACATTTGAACACATTAATTTTACCTGGGTTTGTTTTGTATGATCAGAACTCCGTGACCCTAACATAACTATGTAGTGTGTGGTCAGCACGTTTTATCTATACATCTCAAAAATGTAAACGTTTATAAAATGTTACACATTTTTAAAGAAAATACTTTTTAACAATTTTAACAGGATGTTTAAAAAGTAACATGGGCAGAGTAAAATGATACGCCTTAAATCGTCGTCTATAGTGTGAATCATTTCAATCTTTTGCAGCTGTAAAATCACATAAAACACAGGATGTAAACGCCGTTGTTTCATCGCTGAATCATTTAGTTATTAATAATGTAAAATGTATATCAATTAAAGCAAGTGTTGTTATCACTTCCCATATTGTTATACGCACCATATTAAGGGAAGTAACTGGCAAGGAATTCCCTTAGTCAAAACAAAACAAAAATACAACACTGATAGGCAAAAATAACTAAATACGCTACAGTATCTAGATGTCTTATGTTTGAAAAACTGCGTCTTTAGAAAACAAATCGTTTGTATTTTCGCTTGACTTTTAAGTAAATATAATATTGCTCCGTATTATACAATTCGTAGCGGTATTATTCATTTACATACATTTTGTATTTAGCGTAATTCTTAGGGATTTTATCGCTACTTTATCACATTCTTTTGCGTATTAAGTGATATTGTATTAACTAAATGTCTCTATCTGTACCTAAAAAGGCATTGCTTACAGGCGGTTTTAAAATACAAGTTAACAATTGGTTTTGGATAATCATTGATAAAGATCACAGTATTTACTTTATAAACAGTTTAAAATGGAACATGAAGATGTGACACCACAGTCGCCTATCACTAATCCAATAGACCTAAACGATGATAGTAATGATACGATCATAAAACCAAGTAAAAACCAGCTGAAAAAACAACGAAAACGAGAAAAGTGGCTTGCAATTAAAAAAGAAAAAAGACATGAGGCATAGCAGAAAAGAAAACGTCGTCTAGCAGAGTTGAGAGAAAAGGGAGAAGACATAGGACCAAATAGAAAAAGATTGAAGTCAAATACAATGAAAAATTCATCATGTAAAATTCGGGTTGTGATTGACCTTTCTTTTGATGATCATATGACAGAAAATGATGTGAATTCCTTGACGTGTCAACTACAACACAGTTATTCTACCAATCGAAGAGCTCAAAATCCATTGCAGTTATATTTGTGTGGATTAAGTGGAAAAAACTAAAGAGCGCCTGGACAGCATAGGAGACTATAAAGGATGGGATGTCCACAAAGAAATCCAGCATTATGAAGAAGTTTTTCCCAAATCTAGTCTGGTTTACTTGTCAAGTGAGTCACCTACTGTTTTGACATCACTATCCGATGACAAAGTCTACATCATTGGTGGCTTGGTAGATCACAACAAGGGTTTATGTCTTAAGATTGCTGAAGAGAAAGGCATAGCACATGCACAGCTTCCCATTTCTGACTATCTTAATATGAAGACACGCAAGGTTCTTGCTATAAACCATGTTTTTTCTATCTTATTGCGGTACACAGAGAGTAAAGACTGGAAGGAAGCTTTTCTTGCTGAAATGCCTCAAAGAAAACAAGCGTATCTAAAGGACGGAAGTTAACCAGAGCAGGAATGCCATGCATCTTCATCTACTGAAGAGAAACCTGCCGACATAATACAAGAAGACCGAATTGAAAATAAAGGGAATGAAGAAATATCTGGTCATTCAAGGGATGTAACAGACATTGAAAAAAGGAGGTGGATTCTTGTGAATGTTTAAAAGACAATAGTATTGATATTAACTCTAAAACAGAAGTGCTTGAAATGGGAGAGAATACAACTAGATGATCTGAGTAATGGCAATAGATGTTAGTATTTGTAAATAATGTGTTTCATTTGTTCATTTTTATCTATGAAGTAATTTTAAACTATCAATATTCATTTTTTAACTTGAATCTAATTAGCTATGAATCAAAACACAAACACTTGAAATATGTTATCCAAACTTTTGTTTTTAAATAACAAACAACAAGCTTGATACAGAGTTTTTATTTTTATTCACTGTTTTAATAAAATTGATGATAAAGCAAAGAAAAACATATATAAAGGTCAAGTTTTAATACTGGCATTTGTTGATAAACTTAGTTGATATACATTTTTTAACACAGAAGGATATCACAGATACTGGTAACTCTTTAATTAAAAAAAAACACATGTATATTATTTTTTTATTTGAAATAAATACATTTTTGAGACAGTTAAAAAAAAATTAACTAAATGTTGTTTTTCACTTAAACACCACACTACAGCAGAACTTACGATAGCTCAGAAAGGCTAGACAGAATATTCACTCATGAAAGTATAACGTTAATCAAAGTAAAACATCTTACACAGACACATATACCAACCACAAAATAATTATTGCTCAGTTACTAATCAATTCCACTCACAGTAAAAATATCACACATTGATATATTAGATGTTCTAAAGTCAAAATATCACACATGTTACTATTAGACGTTATAAAGTCAAAGTATCGAGTATTAGACGTTCTAAAATCAATACACTCATAAAATATTATACTGTAAAAAACAACTTGAAACAATATTAAATCACTAAGAACTGGTGGAGTAGAGCATATACAGACATCTACTTGGGCTCTCACTAAGGACTGGTGGAGTAGAGCATATACAGACAGCTACTTGGGCTCTCACTAAGGACTGGTGGAGTAGAGCATATACATACATCTACTTGGGCTCTCACTAAGGACTGGTGGAGTAGAGCGTATACAGACATCAACTTGGGCTCTCACTAAGGACTGGTGGAGTAGAGCGTAAACAGACAGCTACTTAGGCACATCCCCACAACTGTGATGTGGCCAGCAACTTGCACATTTTTTTTTCGAATATTTTCAATAATAAGTGTTATTTTATTCAGAAGACATTTGTTTATATGCGTCAGTGTGCATTAATTTGAGTGACATATTTCTTTAGTTATTAGTTTCTAAATTGGGTTGGGGGTGTTTTATAGTTATAAATTTTATTTTATTATCATAACAAAGCTAGCTAAAATACTTTATTTTATTATGTGCAAAACACGTGTATGCTTTTGTATGAATAAATATTTTTTTATACTCAAATACATTTATTTTAAATCTATTTACCTAATCCTACTCAAATACCATAATATTGAAAAAGAATAGTTAGTGGCTCTTTAAAAACTGGGACATTTTGTTAATTTTTACTTCTGGCTCTTCCGTCTCAAAAGGTTGCCAACCCCTATACAGATAGAAACAGGTAAGTACATTTTAATGTGATGCTAAATAAAAGTCACCATGATGTTGCTCATAATCCAGCATAAGAATGAGAGAAGCATCAACATATTGGGGATTTGGGTCTATGGGGGGGGGGGGTTATGACTCCCCCCCCTAACCCCCCCCCCCTGCCCACGCCACTGCGCAATGGACTCTCTAGCGACCCAAAACACTTACAACTAACCTCCGTAACCAAGGACGCCAAAAGGTGTGTGTTGTGGTACCACCCATATTCGTTTTCCTAACGCCAACTAGCAGGTTTTATGTGAACCAAATGCATGTCGGTTTAGAGTAACATTACTTTTCTACATCGGCAATTAAAATACTGTTTAGCTGAAGCAAAATGTCGACACCAAACAGTTATGACGTAAGGGTGTGTACATTTTGGTGTTAGCTCTGTAACATTGGCCCCACACAGATGGTCAACTTGATGTCTAGACTTTGGCACCATCCCGATGGTCAGCTTGATTTCCAGACATTGGCAAAATCCATATGGTCAGCTTGATGTCTATACATTGAGAACATAAATGTTGGTCCTGCTGCAATTAATGGCGCTACAAGGTTAACCATACTTGTTATTGAATTATTTAATTAGGATTATTATTTTTTTGGATTGGTCTATTAGATTTTTTGGAACCAAATCATGCTCCGCTTACTAAAAGATGTCCACAGCAATTATTCTATCTCAGTGGTTCTTAAACTAGGGTCGATCGAAACCCATGGGTTTTGTGAGTTATTCTATCTCAGTGGTTCTTAAACTAGGGTCGATCGAAACCCATGGGTTTTGTGAGTTATTCTATCTCAGTGGTTCTTAAACTAGGGTCGATCGAAACCCATGGGTTTTATGAGTCCGTCTAAAGGGCTCGGCTGCTGTCTAGACACACACCAATCTCATATGTTTCACATTAGGATTGTACTTAGTTGGTACGATATTAAAATTAAGAAGGTTTCGATGATTGCGCACATGACATTAGTGGGGGTCGGTACCTTTACAAATGTTAAGAACCACGATGTATGTGTGTTAATCTACTAGAGATTTTTGTGCACGGTTTCAATATATTATATTAACTGAATCGATAGTAATACCATTTTATTTTTAATAAACATCAAATTACTGTAACTGCATTGTAACTTAATAAAAAAAAATACACGCATTTAAATATAGCATGTCACAGTTTATAGATACGGTATTGTATTTTGTGTGGAAATAAAATAACCTATTTACAATTGTTAGTAGCCAACATGATAAAAACAAATATATGCAGTGGCTTATACGGTTTACTTAGCATTGTGAAGGCCTGTAATATTGCTCCAGTTTACAAACACACCAACACAATGACAAAATCAAATAATATTTATTTTTATAAAATATAGGCACACATCAAATGATACCTAACTGTAATCTCAAACAGTTTTCTGACATCATGATGTGTCCTACACTGGGGCGTAGCGAGGGGGGGGCGGGATGCGGACCGCACCGGATGACACCATTTAGGGGGGTGACACCAAGGCAAAAATAGCAAAATATATAGAGAAAAACTCGAGGGGGGGGGTGCAAATCGAAAACTTGGGGGGGGGGGGGTGGAAATCGAAAATTAGAAAGTTTGTCCCTTGAAAGGGTCTGTATGCCTCTGGGGGGTGACACCATTAAGTGCCGCACCGTGTGACACCCGACCTCGCTACGCCACTGGTCCTACACGTTCAATAGACTAACCGACACAAATGTGCTAACCTTGACCAATGGTCAGCTGACTGTTCCACGGGACCAGTCATTACGTTTTAATGTTATCATGTTGTATTTGTTTTTGTCCATTGGGGCTTATTGTCTGAGAATTGGTTACAATTATTTATATCCGGAGAATGACATAAGTTCACTGTTACGTTCCGGGTTAGTTTCAACTCAAGAGACGATTCGTGTTGACCTCAATACTTTTATTCGGTCTCAATTCTTTACACATAACTGAACAGCCCTCGTCCTAACCGCTACCAACTAACCGCTGCCTGACCCCCCCCCCCCCCAATCACTCACTCGCCCTTTTATACCCGCATTCGACCTTGGGATTACAATACATAAACATACCGGGGCTACTACACAGTAGGGTGAACTCAACTCACACACGCACTCCCCGCTAAGTTTGAGACTATTCTACCCTATTCTAACCTGACCTCAAACTGACCCGTAACATATACGAACGTCCATTCAGACGAATTAACCCCTTGTCCTGTTTGAAGCGGAAGAGCCAAAAGTTACAATTTTCAAAATGTCCTTGGTTTTAAAGAGCCACTAACATTTTTCTATTTCAAATATTTTTTTTTTTATTACGATTATTAGTATTTGTGCAAGGAGCTGGAGGGCCGCATCTTGATATCAAGGGAGCCGCATGTGGCTCGCGAGCCGCAGGTTGCCGACCCCTGCCTTACACTAAAGGGTGACCCACCAATTGAAACTGAACATTTCAATTGACAGAAAGAAAATTCTTATAGGCAATAACTACTTCCGGATTTGTGGAACACTATACAATTTACCAAATCGGTTGTCTTTGAAAAATGTATAACGCTTGGCCACTGTTTTGTAACTAATTTATTTACCTCATATTAAAAAAAAAACATTAAAGTACAAAGAAAACCCTTTTTGAGTATATCAACAGATTATTTATAAAATTTTAATATGGCAACTATTAGCCCTTTTTAGTATATAAAAACAAAATGTAATGATATAAATATTTATTAAAGTTATTTTTTAAGTTATTTCCCTTTATTTGATTTTGGAATAAGACATGTAGTATTTTGGAAACATTCATTTTTTATTGCAGTTTTAAAATTACAAAACTCTAACCTAATTTCGTATCTACTTAATATATATATATATATATATATATATAGGAATATTTTCACTGAATGCAACACTGTATCAGATATATCACGTTAGTAATCCACGTCATTTCTATTGTTATTTCATAATTAAATTAAAATCCTTTAGGTACCTGGCCAGAGACGCGGACAGTTATAGCAGCTTGTTATTTTCTGACATAATCTCTGACATAATTTCTGGCATTTGTGATCCAATAATTACCAGACGAATAATAATCAACGACGAACACTGAGCAAACCCGTTGCAGGACATCACAATTTATATTCGTCTAACACGTTAGGCCGTCTATATACTGTCCATCCAAATAATCAAGAATGTTTTTACTTGCGATTATTGTTAGTTATCGTACGTGGGCCTAAATCATTCAAAGAATTGAAAACAGTAAATGATGCAGAATGTGAGAACTATCGAGAAGCTTGCCAAAAATTACATCTTCTTGAAAACGATGCCCATGGGGACACAGCACTCGCTAATGCACCAAAACTGCTCAACCACAGTTTTTTGCGATAATATTGACAACATGTTTCTCTTCAAACACGAAATATCTTTGGAAAACACAAAGATTGCATGAGTAAAGACAGCTTACGTCGTATGCAAAGTACAAATCCGGAAATGTAATTTACAACCAATGGTGTATAATGAAGCGCTGCTTTCTATCGAGAATGTATGTTTTGTCAATCACTAACAAAGGATTGGTGCAATTGGGAATAGTTTCCGCTTGCAAAAAAACACAATAGACAGCATGTTATCTTTATTGTGTGAGTCGCACATAGATAAAAACCAAATCATGACCGTTTACCATAGACGTACACAGAAAGTATTCTAGCTCAGTGGCTTATAAACCTGGTTCGATCAAATCCCAGGGGTTCGGTGAGTCCGTCTAACTAAGGCGTTCGGCGTAGCTCAAAACACACACCCGCCTCATATGATTCCGACTGAATTTTCTCAGTGTAGACAATATTTTTATTAAGAAAGGTTCAATGATTGCATATATGAAACTGCTGGGGTTCGGTATCTTAAGAAAGCTAGACTAACCAAGGTGTATGTTGTTTTTTTTTTATTTAATAGTT